CCTAGCTGTCCCACAAAATTTTTTCCACCCCTTTTAATAACGACCAATCGAATTTCAGGATCAGATGTAATGTGAAAATTGAGACGAAACAAAAAAACAAGAATAGCTTTAAATTTAAATTAGAAAACCACCTTCTGTGGTCTAATGAAAAATGTTCCTTGTAAAATTTTACTTGTAGACGTTACATTATCCTAGTACTAACCCTAACTATAACGCGCTTTTCTTAACTTTAATTTTGCACGTAACCTTTTACTTAGAAAACAAAACACGTTTGTTTTGACAATCATGGCCTCACCTTTGAAAATTAAAAAAAAAATAAATAAATAAACTATATAATGATTTAATTTACTTCTTTCAAAGAATTAGACGATGTCTTAAGTGCAACTGTATTAGATAGTCCACGTGTTCTTACATATACATTATTTTAATTTTCGTATACCATCTAACCAGGTTGCAGAAAATACAGAACTAAATCCTCCTTCGCCAATTTTTTTAACATTATTTAGCTTATCGCATTGAGAAATACGCTTGAAAAAAAACTTCAATTGCAGCACAATTTGAATGCAACACAATTTGAATATTCGAATTGATAACAAATAGTCAATATCATAATCAACACCTGTTTTTAATTACATAATAAAAAACATTTGCAAAGTTCACAAAATTTTGAAAACGAAATTTTTACCGCTAAAAACAAATCTGTCCTGATACTAATAAAACACGTGCCAAACCCGCCAACCAAATAAATGCACCTCCAAGTGATTCATCACATCACTGTTTGAATGACGGAAACAGGTAATTGTACTTTTTTTTCGAAAATTTATTTTCGTGCCCATAATCGTTCTTTAATTTCCTAAGCTAACCTGACCTTTTAGTAATTTGGTTGGCTAGATATCATGTGATTGATATGGAAGAATTGGTGGCATAAATTATGATGCATGAAAATAATTTTCATTTTTTTCTAATTTTTCTGGTTAGAGTTAGTCTAAGCCAGAGTTATATTTTCAGAGAATAATTTTTAGTAGTTGGTTTGAGTTGAAAACACCAACTGAATGAGATTAATAATGCTTATCTAACTTTCACTCGGCCTATTACAGTGATTCCCAGTGCATTACTATTCTAATTTTCGGGCCAAATTGTTGTTCTAGCTCCTATTACTTTTCATAAATGTTTATTGCTATACCCATCTTTTAACAAAATTATTCCCAGCTTTTATCCAGCTGGCTTCACTTTACATATGATTTGTGTATATCAACATTTTTCCGTACTGTATACAAATTATTGAATTATTTCAATGGCCGGATTATTGGATTTTATAGTAAAACTAATATAATTTTGACAAACATTCAAAGAAGTCAGTGTACTGTTATTGCGAAGTGCACTAGCTAATGCTCTTCCACCTTCTAACCCAAGATAATTATCTTCGAGATTCAAATAAGTCAACGTGGTATTCTTGCAAAGTGCATTGGCTAATACTTTTCCTTCTTTAGATCCAAGACTATTCCCACAAAGATTCAAAGAAGTCAGTGTGGTGTTCATGCAAAGTGCATCTGCTAATGCTTTTACTCCTTCGAATCCAGGATCATTAACTTCAAGATTCAAAGAAGTCAGCGTAGCGTTCTTGTAAAGAGCATCGGCTAACACCTTTGTTCCTTCTGACTCAAGACTATTCCAACCAAGATTCAAAGAAGTTAGCGTGGTATTTTTGCAAAGTGCATATGCTAATGCTTTTGCTCCTATTAATTGAATTTCATTAGAACAAAGATTCAAAGAAGTCAGCGTGGTGTTTTTGCAAAGTGCGTTTGCAAATACTATTCCTCCATGGATTCCAAAATAATTACTTATAAGGTTCAAAGAAGTTAGTTTAGTATTCTTATAAAGTGCATCTGCGAATGCTTTTCCTACGTCCAATTCAAAATTATTATAACCAAGTTTTAGAGAAGTCAACGTAGTGTTTTTGCAAAGTGCGTATGCTAATGCTTTTCCTCCTTTTGATCCAAGATTTTTATTGTAGCTAAGATTCAAAGAAGTCAACGTGGTATTCTTGCAAAGTGCATCTGCGAATGCGTTTCCAACTTGTGATCCAAAATTATTAGAGCTAAGATTCAAAGAAGTCAACGTGGTGTTCTTGCAGAGTGCATTTGCCAACGCTTTTCCTCCTTTCTGTCCAAGATTATTATTATAAGATAATCCATCTCCACCAAGATTCAAATCTTTCAGCGTATTGTTCTTGCAAAGTGCATCAGCTAATGCTTTCCCCCCTTCTGGTCCAAGATTATTGTCTTTAAGGTTCAAAGAAGTCAGCACGGTGTTTTTGCAAAGTGCATCCGCTAATGCTTTTCCGACGCTTGATCCAAGTTTATTGCGTCTAAGACTTAAAGAAGTCAGCGTGGTGTTTTTGCAGAGCATACGTGCTAATGTTTTTCCTCCCTTTGATCCGAGATTATTATTAAAAAGACTCAAAGAAATCAGCGCGGGATTTTTGCAAAGTGCATCTGCCAATGCTTTTCCCCCTTCTGATCCAAGATCAATATCACTGAGACTCAAAGAAGTCAGCGTAGTGTTTTTACAAAGTGAACCTACTAATGTTTTATTAATAAAATAATTAAGTGTTAAATATTTAAGATTTTTTACTTGCTCGCAGAAACATTGCGACTAAAGAGCATTTCATAGCATCTGCTGCATCGCGTTCTTCGAAATAATAACCATTTGTAAGCCAATTTCTGATTCCACAGTCCAAATAAGGACCAACAGAAATTGTATAATTTTCGTACTTAAATAATGGCCTTGGATACTTTGGAAGATTAAATTTAAAGGGAATCAATAAAGCTTGCTCTTCAGCATTTAATGCTAAAAGATAGATTTTTATAAGTCTTTTACTACTGAAATAATTTGTAGGTTCACTCCATAATATTGGTACGATAATTCTACACCATTGACGGTTTACAAGAAGGCATGAAAATAAGCATTTATAATTATTTTGAAAATTGTTAAATATTTCAAAAAGGCATTCGTTCGGTAACATTATCATTTTGGATAAAGGTAATGGTAAAAAATCAGATTTTGCCTCCAGTATATAATTCAAGTTGACGGAAAATCAACAGATTGAAAAAAAGATAGCTAAGCAGGGATATACCAATAGCGACCCTGCTAGGGAGGTTGGGCAAACAAGTCACTAGATTAAAACCAGTACTGGCAGTCAATTTGACCAAATCAAGCAGACACGCTGACGCGCGTGAGAAAAGCACATGCAGAAAACGTCCCAAAAAATTCATCCCCTGTAACTTTGACCAATCTAATTTCAGTAAAGTGAAAATCGAAAATTTTACAAAAAAGCAAGAATAGCTCTAAAATATAATTAGGAAACCACTTTCTGCAGTCTAATTAGCATATTCCTTGTGAAATTTTAGTGATATGCACTACATTTTTCTAATCCTAAGCCTAACTATAATGTGGTTTTCTTAGCTTTAATTTTACGCGCAACTTTTATTTAGAAAACACCAAATGTTCGTTTTGATTGCCAAAATTACAGTGTAATCAATTTTTGTATGAAATGCACTTATTTCGTAGACATTTCACCGACGATCAATTCACCAACATTTCACTGACAAGTTCATTTCACCAACAGTTAAATTACACTAACCTTAATACTAATTCTAACTGACCCTAACGACAATGACCATTGTCGGTGAAATGAGCTTTTGGTGTAATAAACTGTCGGTAAAATGAACTTGTCGGTGAAATAGGTGTCAGTGAAACAAAACATGTCGGTTGTATCTACGAAATAAGCAGAACCGGTTAAGGTTAAAAACTCCCTAACGCTAACGCTAAATATTGATTAATAGATAACGATAATCGTAAATTTTCGTGCAACCAAATATATTGGGCAAGTATTCAAACAAAATTTAATAATGTTGAATGTGTTGACATTATAATGATAAAATTATCTATAGAATAAAGTATTACATGTAATATAAAATATGGATCTTTTATATACCGAAATCACAAACTTAATCGAATAGACCGAAAAATCATTCGGTTAATTTTTATAAGGTGTGTCAGGAATTATAATAATGGGGGGTTTCAAAGTTAACAAATAAGTGACGTATTTCGAAAATAGATAGGATTTTTTCAATAGCATTTTTACTATGTTGAATTATAAATCGGAAAAAATAAAATAAGATTCTCTGATTTTAACTTTGAAACCCCCTAGTAGCCTTACTTGGTGAATGAGCTATGGTTTCATTAGTAAAATTTTGAGTGATATTGGGCAAAATTAATCAATATCGGCCAGTGAATTCCGACCCATAATTTTTGCGCCACTAACCTATCCACAAATCAAAGGGTACCGATAGTGTACCGATCACGCGTGACACCCCATATACGATATACGTACGTACGTATGTTTTTTTTTAAAAAAAAACGATCTCATAATTTAGTAATTATATTTTTTAAAAAATTATCTCATTGGGACAAACATTTTGATAATAAACTATCGAGAATAAATTTCAATTACGTATTTACATCGAATTAAAAAAATTTACCTTAATAAGCATGTATTATAAGCTTGTACGTAGTACCTTCATCTGTGGATCAAATCATAATCTACATACAGTAGTATAAAGAAAGGTTTTTCATTATTTTCTTTCCATGTTTATATAACATACGTACTATATATCTATTTATAGTTTACAAAAGGCCCTCTCTAGTGTGCATCCACTTTTCGTGACAAACTAAAGAATAACCTGACGAAAAATGGTCATCTTTAAAGGTTTTCCACTCTGTAGGAACATATCCGTTTTTTTGCATTCTTCGTATTGTTTTGCCCGTAGAAAACAACAATAATTTGGAAGAATTTTTAACTATGTATAAGAAAATCTCTGATTTGTGTAATTTATTAATCCTCGATTTGATTGGTTAATAATCATGTGTTAGAGTATGCAATTATAATGAGGAAGTTAACGTAATGGTACGTAACGGCTTTCTGAGACTTCTCTGAAATGGAAATTGTAAATCCGATGCCTGAAAATTCCATATTTGAAGAACCAACTAAGACACCTTACACAATTGTACGGTTGAAGCGTAAACGTAATGCTGAGCCTTTGGACGCGCTTGGTACCGTATCATATTTGTAACAAAATTTTAAACTTTCGCTAATCGCCAAATTTTTTGCAGTTGTCCAGCAACAACTCGTAAAGAAACCAAAGCGGCAGGGAAGTCTTCAAAATGATGTGAAACCGATCGAGGAACAAAAAATGGAGGGTAAAACGCAAAGTTTTTCATATTTCTTTTTTTGGTTTACAAATGTTTTACAAAAATTAAATTGTTATTATTTGAATAGAAGATTCGTCGTTACCTTTCGTTTTTCGATTTGCTGAGACAGTTGATGAAATTAGCTTCAATGATTCAACAAAGTCACAGCAATTGAAGGTATGTTATTCATATCGAGCGTAGATGTACTCTAAAATCAATTATAACGCTTCTTGTTTGTTTTGTAGGATCGCATTGCAAAATTAATCAATCGCAGAGATAAGGTGCGACTGAAAGAGCGAAGCAGAAAACAGACTCGCGATCAGCAAATTGCTTTGTTCAATGAGAATACGAGAAGAGAAAGATATAAAGTGATTGATAGAAATAGGAAAAGTGGTAGCCTTCCCCATTTCTCAAGGTTAAGAAGATCAATGTTTTCTTGTTAATTTCTTTGTGATTAGCTGTACCATATTCGTTAAATTTTGTTGAAATATTTAGTGACAGCGTTGAAGATGAAGAAAATGCAACAGATGAAATGTTCCAGATGTATGACGCTGTCAAAGAAGAAATACCAATTGCGCCAAAGTTGGTTGCTCTTTTTTTGATTGGTATTTTATATTTGCATGGAAAATGAGAAGGATCAAATAATTTTATGGAAATTCATGGCTCTCAGATTTATCAAGGAAGACGGCCTGGATTCCGATATTATGTGTAACTTCATTCCTATGGTTCGAGAATATCTAACTCGTAAATATATATATTCTCATTATTGCTGATTAATGCTATTTATCAACATTTATACTTATATATTTCTATTCGTTCATTCTTAGTCCAAGAGAACATAGATAAAGAAAATACTGCCGAATCCGATGATGATTATGTATATGATGTATACTATCGTGATGATTCAATGGCATTTGATGATAAGCCCGAATATCAGAATTATGCTTCATTGTACAGTAATTTTTACTCTTTATAAAGCTATTTATTTATAATGATATTCATGACTTTAAATTTTTGATAGAACTTGGTTCAATGACGATGATAATGGAATTTTTGTGAAAGAAACAACAGAAAAAGATGAATTTGAATATTCCGATGAAGAAGATTCAAATGGTTGGTTGGTTATTATGTATATGTACATATTTATGATTCCTGTTTTATGCGTTTAAATTATCTTTTATTTTGTAGCTGAAGATTACTATACACATGACTATCCTGATGAAGAAGAGGTTTGGAGTGAACAAGGTACACATATTTAAACGTAAATTGACGTTTAACGTTATCCAATTCCCTAATACTTCGTCCTTTTTTTTAGAAGATTATTCTTCTGAGGAATATTAGTATCAATTTGAAAACATTATAATGGGATCTAATGTTCTCCATAAAATATTTCACTTAGGACTTTGTATTTTTGTTCGAAAAAAAATATTGTATTCTTGAAATTATGATGCTTACTGTCATTAATATATCAAAGACTAGAAACATATTGAATCTTGATATGCGTTTTGGTTTATTGGATAATATATACTGTCAGTGTTTATTAGTTTAATTTAGTTTTATTTTATTCTTATAATTGCTGTCTTTTATCAACTTATTTACTACATCTTTCTATCTATAAGTCACGGTGAATTTCATAATTTCAGACAATTTATTTTTTCTTAAATTAATTTTTAATATATGTTAGCAAAATGGCGACGTTTATAAACTGGCTTTTTAATTATTATGTTCTTATTTTAGAATTTAAGAATATTTTTAGTAAAATTACAAAGAAAAATGATCCATGCTTTTTATTAACCTTCATCGTAAATACTTATTTTTCCTTAATATCTGTCTATTAATTAAGTGAGATATGTACCAATCAGACTAGGAATAGTAAAGTTCTTGGGTTTGTAATCTTGAAACATAGTTTTGGAACCGGTTTGTCAAAACCAGATCTAAATTTGAAACCTAGGCTTAAGTTTATGATAGATTTTTTATAATGCATATACCGTTTAACGATGCTATAGGATTCCCGACATAATATTCTATCACATAAAGTACCTCTTCTCTACCAATGAAATCACTGGGTTCTGAATAGTACCCAGTACTATTCAATTTTTAAAAATGGATTACTTGAATAAACTTCGGGTTTAAATTTGAATTTAATTTGTAATATAAATTTTTTTTTGAATTAGTTAACTAGTTGTAATTAATATATTTTTTTTATGATTTGAAACTTTATTAGTTATATCAAATCTTACATATATACAGGATATTTGTTATATTGTAATGTTGTTTATTATCTTGATAACAGGTTAATTGACTTCATATTTAAGTAGTTGAGAAATATAAAATTTATAAACAAAATATAATACTATTTAAGATTTATTTGTTGCAAAAATATTTAGCAAAGTTTAAACAAGATAATACTAATAGTTTATAGACTAAGATATAAATTTATTTTATTTATTTTTTCAAACTAGCCTCTTTGGCTTTAAGGTTTTTATTCAAGTAATGAGTGCAGAGGCTCGTGGCTATTGCCACAAAGGAGTCCCTTTACATTTGAGAGCACAACTAGCCACATATACACTTTTGGTGTTTAATTGAAGTAGTCTGCCTACAACTTACATTATAGGTTTTATATTAGATGCTATACCTGTAACCCAACTATGGGTGTTACCCATTTAAACCCTCTATTATGCACCTCTTTTTATATTACCAGTATATCTCCAATACATTAGTTAGTCAAGAAGTCCCAGATCCTACTTATTTTCTTAGGATTACCAGCTTAGTTAACCGATTTATCTTTAAGGCATTATTTGTTAAAGCTTTTCATACTCACAATCTGGCTAACCTAATCTTCAGTTGATATACATGGGCTGAGGTTTATCATTTGCACCCTAGTTTCTATAGTAGAAGTGTTCTCTGGCTGTTTTGCTTTCACGAGATTTTTTATAATGTTTTAACTATACGATAATCTAATTGTTACTACACA